AACTAATCTGACCCTTCAATACCCTGCAAAGACAAGTCCTTTGACCAAATACAATTTACTAGGACCTAACACTTCTCAGGAAATTTTAGCCAAAGATTGAGACTAACAGCTCATTTTTTTTTAACTTATCCAATGGAATAAATACATATTCTTGATTTTTACTTGAGCAGGCAAAAAAATGCTAAGCTCCCCCTTTATTTTGATCAAAATAAGGGGGGTGCAATTTTATGGGGAATATAACCAAAATGAAAATGCATACATTGTACAAAAATGAAAAAAAGATGTAAGAATTATATAAAATATTAAAAAATAAAATCTCAATTATGCCATATAATTAAAATGTTTTCAAGCACTCTATGGACTCATCGAAGTTATGTATCAGATCTGGTCTTGTGGTTCTAACATCAACCTTTGTCATATTCCTGAAACCATTTCTGCCTCCAGATTTCTATATTTTCTTCAGAATTCTCTGAACTGTCCATGATGTCCTCATGTGAAATTCTGCCTTTTCATTGATTTCTATAATACAAAACAATCTCAGTCATGATTTTTTCACTTAAGAATATATATTGTATGATTTGAAAAAAAAAGCTAAGCTGCCTCAACTCTGCTAGACAGTAAGTAAGAATTCATTTCCTGATAAATTTTTGTGTTTTTTTTTTTTACCAATTATTTTCTATTTTCAGGGGTAAGTAAGTAATTAAAAAATATTGAATGTCTAAATAGCCATAAGACAAATTGATATTTGGATAACTGTCTACCATATATTAAATTTCACCTAGGGATGTCTGTACTTGGAAATTAGAATCTTATTTTGAAAAATTCTAAACATCTACCTTTTTTTGCTTCCCTAAGGAATCACCAGTTTTGAATTTATAAATTTACTATGGAGCCTTTCCATGCAGCTTTTGACATAAAGAAATACTTATTTGGGGGGCCTCCCCGGTGGTGCAGCAGGTTAAGCACAACACTGTAAAGCTGTCCGCAGCCTCTGCAGCACTGGTTCGATCCCTGGTCAGCCAGAGAGCTACCCACATGGCACAGCAGACCTCTCCTGTTGCGCCCTCAGCCATGTTTTTGGTCTGTCTGCCTGTTCTGCTCCCCACTCTGGGGAATCCTCTCACCCTCCCGCACTTCTGGCCTATACCCCAGTTCTTGTATAAATAAATAAATCTTTTTAAAAAAGAAATATTCATTTTTTGATTAATTTGCTTATTTTTTCCAGGTATTTATTTTAAACTGTCTGCTTTGCTACCTTGCTTTCATTTTTCCACAGACTGGACTTCTAAGCTGTCTGTTTTTTTTTTTTTTAAAGGGATTAATAAAAAATTTATTTACCAATTTTCCCACCTGCTTCGTTTACTCCTGTGCATTCTTTTGGTTGCTCTTCTCACTTAGATTTATGGTTTTCCATCTAAATTACCAGCATTCAGTTCTTTTATCTTGGAATGCAGAGAAATGAGAGTTCCCAACTCTTCTTATCTTCAAACTTGTATTGTGACCTTCACATTTGTCATAATTTAAAGTCTGTCCAATCTCACCCACACTTTAAAATATGTAATAATCTCTCCAATGTATAGAGTTTATAACATGAGTTTCAAATATGGGAAAGTCAGATGAAACAATATTCCCCCTTAATTCTGTCCAAAACAATTTTTTTATACAGTGCTATACAGCTTTAAGAAGGAAATGATGTATATCTATTATGGGTTGAATTACTAATTTAAAAAAATTAAGAAAATATTTTATATAACTGAGGTGAGCAATTGCTTTTCATATTAAATTGGAAATCTTCAGTGGAAAAAAAATCACCTTTTATCTAATTAGACACATTAAACAATGAAAAAGCAATAAATTTTCAAACTCATAAAGAACCAAACAAACTAAAAAACCATTTATCTCTTTGGTATCTTCATTCTCAACAGTGAATTGATTTTCTGAGCCTCTATGTCTTCTCGATGCCCATACATCCAGTCAATTCTGTTAATTATTTCCCAACTCTGCCTTTAGTTATCAATAGAATTATGCTTCAAAGCACATCACCAGCACATCCATATGTGAAATGTGTGTATATTTTTTAGTAATTCAAAAGAACCATAAACTGATAAAATAATGGCTGTAAAGGTAATTTCAGAAAGACATAAGCTTCATTCTGAAGAGTTTTTGTTAAAAAAAAAAAAAAACTCATTCGATATAATAAGATGTTTCCTGGCCCATGCCATTTTGATATAAAAATTGTTGATTAATAAGTCTCAATTACTTGATTATGCATTTTGGTTTCAAACTTTGCTTTTAGTGCTCAGAGGCTGCCTCCAGGCAAAATTTCAATTCATTATCAGTTCAAAAGGCTGCCCAGTTGTACCTTCTTAAGCTACAGTAAATACATTTCCATCTGGTCTCATCCTCTTTAGTATCTGACATTTTGTAATAGAGAGCTTTGAAATCATATTTTATGGCAGTGAAGCTGCTTGGGGAAATTTATTGACTTAACAATCCCATCCAACATCTCCTGTCATGTGGAACAGCCCCCAGTACAAGGCAGATTAGTGAATGAGAGCTACTTCAATTTGGCCCAACAGTCTGGCTAAAGAATTTTCCATTACATGGGTGGGTGAGATTAACTGAATTTGGAACCATTCGATTTATTCTGTAGCACTAGTATAAAAGAACACAATAGTGACTAGGACTGAATTTGAGTATGCTCTCTTCTATTGCCATTCTGATGAAGTAGCAATGCTGAGATTATAAATTGTTATTACTCAATTTATTTTTTAAATAGATCTAAGTGTTTACATTTGTGAGCTGTATTTGGTATCTGCCTCCATTGTAGATTCTGAACACAATAAGCGTGTAGTTAGTATAAATATATAGAGACAGTTAATAATTTATGCATGCTCCCAGTGTGCCAGGACCCCAAGTGTCTATTAAATTTTCCCACTCATGCAAGGTCAATGAATAAGACCAGGGAAACTATGGAATTTTCTTTTAAATGCTAGGCTAGCCTTCTTTTAATAATGACAACCTGCAAACCTAATTCTCATTAATTCCCATGTACCACACGAAAGTTGGGATATACATAAAATAAATTGGTTGAGAGAAAATATAAATATGATTATGTCTGAGGCACTGACAACTGCAAAAGAGCTCAAATTTTCAACAAATTATCTGCAAATACACAGATTTATATTACACAAAAACAAATTTAAACTCACTGGCTAGTCAAGAAAGGCATTGAAAAAAACACATATATTTGCAGTTCCTTTTAATGAGAAGAATTTCCTACACTTGACAGTGGAATTTATTATTTCAAATGCCTATAAACTATGATAAATTAACTGGATATTCTACAAGGAATCCTGCTTAAAATAAAGTGCATAAATTTGAAGTTATACTTACAAAAGAACAAAATTATTATTTTACAGCATTAGATCATATTTTAAAGAATGTAAGTCACTTGGATAATATGTGAAATTTATTGTAATTGTTGGCATTTTGTCACATAGGCTACATTATTTTTATGAAAATTTATAATTCTATTAAAACATCACATTAAGCTTTTAAAATTCTAGCATCATGTAAGCAATAGATATTTAATTAGCATTTTTGTTAATGATGGAATATCTTTTTCTAACAGGAATTTCCATTTCTGTTATGTGTGGAATTAATTAAGGCAACCTTATATATCAATAAGATTTCTCTCTTCAATTTAAATTGAGAACTACATTTTATTCCATAAAATGAAAATAGCCTCTAGTTACCATTTTTAATGATATTAGCAGCTTCTAAAATAATTTAACTTATCAAATTTATAGCAGATGCCACAAGTTGTATACAAACAAAATATTTTCCTGTCCACTTAATGAATAAAAGCTAGAGCAAATCATGAAAATCATTTGTAATGAACTTTTTTCAAGGTTGCATAGAAATTTCAGAGACCCAGACAGGGTTAGCGTTAGCTTTTAAGTAACCTGAATTTTATAGCTTGAAAGAAGCCTTAATAGATACCAGACGAATGTGTCCTTTTACTCATTCTGAAACTGAAATGTAGAGCCATGAAATGACTTGCTCAGTGATATAGAGCTAGGTACAACATCCCTTATATTTTCAAAATATGATTGCAAATATGAGCATATATTTGCAAAAACATTAATTATTATTTCAAACTAAAATTTAAAAAGGTCATATCACATCATAGTCCTCCATAAGAACACTAGATTTTATTATAGATTACCAAATATGGTGATATTACATGTCCCAGTTATATACAGAACAGTTTATTTTCTGGATATTTGCTTTCATTGATTTTCCATGTAATAATATTGAGATTTAAAATATAGAAACCATAGCTATTTGTTCTATTCAGATAGGACAAATAAGGAAGTAAAGTCTCACTTTTAAAAATTTTTGAAGCTTATATTGCATAAATGTATATTTTCATATTTTCCCCAAATATGTAATAAAGTACCTTTAACAAGCATCCACTATATCATCACCAACATATAGGATACATAAGGGAAGATAGTATAACTTTCCACATGGAAGCCAAATGAATAGCAAAGCTTTAAGTAATTTGTTTCACTAACTAGTATTGCTCAACCTAGGAGATCACATCATCTCGACTATACTAAAAGAAACCCAACAATGAAACTTTTATCAAATGTACTAATATATCCATAATATTTTTAGTAAAATACTTTAGCTTTTTCAAAAGGAAACAGGACTTTAGAAATAAAAATATAGCACTTATATGACCCATCCAACCAGTAATTTCACAATGTCTTTAAGTAGTGTCTTAATTCCCCCAAATAATAGCAGCACTACATAGAAAATTTTTAGACAGAAATTCAAATAAAGACATTTTATTATGCAAGAAATGGATTTTTATTACTAAATATAGTCCAAAAATGAACATATTCTTGCAAACTATATTCATTGAGACATCTATTTTTTTATATAGTGTTTGATCAAAATATGAAAGGTTTTCCCTTGTATATGCTCACCTGCTCAGAAAAGAAGTCACTGCTATCTTCCAAATATTTACTGAAAGGGTTGGGCTCATAGATTTCTTCCTCCTTTTTCAGGAATATTTTGGATTTTACTGGTACAGGGCGAATTACTCCAGGCTTAGTCTTCATGAAAATACAATTGATTTTTCATAAAATAAAGAAATAAGCAATATAAGAATGAGTAAGTATGTGTATTATTAAGTCACTCAAATGTTCTCAGAAAGGTCAGTAATTTTTTTTAAATTTTACAATGGTTTATAAATATATAAAATAGTCCCTAAATCTAAAAATTTCTAACTAATATGTTTTAGCTATTGCAGCAATCAATTCATAACGATCCACTAGGAAGATGTTCAAAATACAAAAACTTCATTTATCTAGCCAAACCTGTTTTATATACTTGCCAGTACATTCAATCAATAAACATTTCATTTGACAAATATTTATTAAGCCTGTCCTCTGTGCCAGGCAGCATTCTCATTCTAGGGAGAATAAAGTTGAATTTGGTGTTGAACTGGGTCACCAGAAGTCCTGTCCATATTATATGTGAAACCAGGGATAACCTTCTGAGTTAAGGGAGTGAAGGGTGGGTACCAAACATATGTTCTCCCCCAAGAATATGGAAGAGAGACCTTAACTGCTCTTCCATCATGTTCAGAGATTGAAATTATGTCAACTTGGGAGCTATGAGAAAGTCTTAATTTTCCCCTTAAAAAGAGATCTATGAGATCAAGAAAAAAAGAGCGAAGTATGTGGCAAGCCAGACTGGAGAGGAGAAATACTTAAGGATTTTCCAGAATTGAGTTCAAAAACATCCCTAGTGCCCAGCTGAATTATTTGTCCTAAGGTTGCTTAAGAATCCTTTTCGTTAACACTTGATCCCCTTCTAAATTTCTCCTTGAGTGTGATTCAAACTCCATTATTTCTAAAACTTACAAACAAGAGTTTAGCTTATAAAAGAGCCATTCAAGATTCATAAACTTGCATACGAATGTCATTTGGATAAGAGATGAGAGGAGAGGGGAAAAGAAAGGACGGAAAAAGAGGGCAAGGGAAAAAGAAAAATCTAGGAATGAGAGAAATCTAGTTTGGGGCAATTTCAAAATAATGTTTCAAAACACCAACATCTTGTTACACTGTAATATGTCACAACATGATTGATAAGTTTACAAAAAACCATCCCAAACAACAATTCAATAAAAAAGTTGTGACACATTTTCTGCTTAAACATTTTGCTATAATCATTCTTCTTAACTCCATTTCTTTTCAAAAAATAGTAAATTAGCTCTCCTCCATCAGTGCTGATACTCACAAGTTTAAGCCTTAAGGGAGTACATCTATCTCTCTGCTCTATAAACCACCTGATATATTTTGAGTCTTGAATAAATGCTGCTCTGAAATACTTTCTTTCAATCAATATTTTCCCAGTTGTCTTTCACATATATTTGCCAACTGGGGAAATACAGATTGAAGAAAATCTCTATCTCCCCCAGGCTGAGAAATATCTCCCACTTAAACTGATTTCTCTCAAGGGCTAAAAACAAGCAAGTAACATCCAATTATGCGTGAAGTCACATAGCTGAGTACATGTATGAGCACAGTATGCCTCCAGTAAACTCAGCACAAGAACAAAGCCCAGTCAGGCACCTGTAATAAGGATGATTCCTGATATCTGTGTCATAATTCTATGTTGTCAGACTAGCTGTCACTCTTTCCCTTTGACTTTTCCGTTTTATTTATCCTTCCTTCTGCTTTATTCCTGCACATTCTCTTTCTCTCCTGCTTCTTTGTGACTCAGGAAATCAATATAGCAAGTCCAGTTCTCAAATCCTACCAGGTTTTAAAACCAACATGGAACTTTAGGATCTAAGTTTGTGACATTATGCAGAAAGGAAAAAGAGAAGAGAGAAGAAATCTAACCAGGAGGATTTAATATGCTAAGGGAATACCTGTGCTTGAGAAGTACAATTACCTGGTTCCTGTATTGCTAGCAGGCAGATGTTTTGGATTCTCCTAGCCTAAAGCATATTATCTCTCTTGGGATTATCGCCCATTAGAGTGAGACTAGACACAAAGAGACTCTTTTGGATGGTAAAATATCACATACGTTTAGTGTCAGAATCATCAGAATCAGTTGCAGATTCTTATTTGTTTATCTACCAGCCTTCATGTTCCTTAGTTCCTATGAATTTCCTGTATTTGGTGGTTACCTGACAAATTTGACAATGATTCTTTCCCTATCTGCCAGGTTTTCCACATGCTATTTTCTTGGATTCTATGTCCCTATGCTTGGTCTGCCTGAGTCTTCTTCATTCTGATTTGCTTAATTGGCCTTGATACCATTGCCTTGATCCTTATATCACCTCTTTTCATAGACATGATTTACCATTGTATATTAATGCATTATTACTCAGTAGTCAATATTTAATAGATATGGAAGCCAAATCTACACTATGTGTAGTTTGCCTTTGACATTTGGTTTCCATCCTATAAACTTGAATCATACCCTCCATACCAAACTGTCCCTTAGCCTTTGGTCAAATTGGAAATTGAAACATGGTACACTTTGTGCATTCTCCATAAGCCATGGTACATGGATAAACAGCATTCTTGGAAGTCTCCACAACTTCCCCATGCTTTGAGATCAACTTCAAAAACAATGGAGATTCATTACAACTAATGACACCATTATTTCCCATAGACCCAAATTCCTTAGCTTCTATATGGGATCAGGCACTATATTCAATTTTTTTGATAGATGATCTCATTGATTCCTTAGAAACAGCAGTGAGACTTAGAAAGAATAATTTGCATGCCAAAATTATGTAGTTAATATGTAAAGAAATCAAGATGTAATTCCAGGTCTGGCCTGATCACTAAACCCATGATTTTAGTTATTTCTATGCTTTATTCAAAGAAAGAGAAAACATAAAAATCTGAAATGATTTTTAAACACCTATTCTCTATAACTGCTTCTGTTAAATCAATAACAAAGCCCTAGTATTTTTTGTATTTTTGATTCCATTTATATTTATTTTATTTCCATTGCCAATTTTTAGACATATCCTTCCTTTTGGCCAGTTAAATAATTCTGCATTAATTTTACCTTTTACTAAACTTACTAAATCAATATTTTTCTTTCTTTACATGTGGCACACATTCTTTCAAAAGAGCATTCCTGGAACATGGTGGAATCTACTGTTTATCCACTCAGTATATACATCTATAATTCCTCCTTTCTCCTACACACATACACACATGCCACACACACACACAATACCTCATCTTCTAAGGGAGTCTGTAGTGTGTGTGAGACATCAGACTGCATATTGATGTCTTTCTAAATCTGGTCAAAAATCCATGAAGCAGCATGATATTGATGTTGAGAGAGTATCAAGGACATGGATTATAGTTTTTGCATTTGTCTATTGTTAGTAGACTATATGACCTTGAAAAATCCATTCAACCTGTATGAAACTTCTGTTAAAGGATTAATTCAAATCTGTGATTAGAACATAAATTCTTGCCCCCTCAGGAATCTTACCACATAAATTTGTTGAATAAGAACTGTTCTAGATATTCAATCCATCACACAAACAAGAATCTCAAAGTGCCTTTCAGAAAATTTATTAAAAAGAGTATGTGAAACAACTATCCTATTACTTATTACTGGACAGAGAAAGCTATCCTTGAATAGTTAATTTGCTCTCTGCTCTCCTTAATACCTTGTTTCTCAATGTCAAATGGTCATATAAAGACTAAATTGCAACACAAAGTAAACTAATGGCTTTACTCAAATAAGATGTTTGCTAGCACCTTGTGTACAGAATGGGATCTGTATATCAGCAGCATCAGCACTTGCAAACCTGTTAGAAATACCAGATCTCAGGCCTTCCCCAGACATACTGAATGAGAATCTTCATTTTAATATACTCTCTAGGTGATTCACATGCATATTAAAAAATGAAGGCAACGCAACTAGAATTTATCCACTAAATATCATGCTACCCACCTACATACAGAGCTTCCTGGTCTGCCATCCCAGAGATATCTGATTAACCTTGAACTTCTAACACCAGACTAAAGAAGAGGCTTTAGAACAGACTGCCATTTACTGATTTCTAATCTACATAGCATCCTTGCTAGAGCCTCCTGATACCTTTAGAATTCAAGTGGACTTTGGTTCTTAAATTCTGACAAATCTAATTGCTAAGTCTGTGTCTTTGATGGTGAACTACTATAAGACTGTTATGTCCAGGAATAGTATGACTAAACTAATCCAAAGAGGCTCTTCTTTCATATTAACCTGCTATAGAATCTGCCATAGAATCTTTCATATTAATCTGCAATAGAATAACTACATGAAATCCATGAATGTGGGCCTCCCCTGGTGGCGCAGCAGTTGAGCGCTGGGCTGCGAAGCTGTCCGCAGCCTCTGCAGGGCCAGTTGATCCCTAGCCACTGGCGAGGGTCCCACATGGCGTGCAGACCTCTCCTGCAGCCTGCTGCTCCCTTCAGCAGTGTACTTCGTCCGTCTGCTTGTTCTGCTCCCCGCTCTGGCTCTGGTGAATTCTCTCACCCTCCCGCACATCTGACTGCACCCAGTGCTTGCATAAATAAATAAATAAATCTTAAAAAAAAATCCATGAATGTCATTCTTATAATGTCAGGAAAATTCAACTTCATTATATTCTTTCCAGTCTAAATGAAGAAATAAAAACAGGTAATGACTGTCCTTGTACAGCGGGCCCATATAGAACAATAACAAAGTTCTCAAAAATGTAAATTTCAATTCATTGTGAAGAACTACCAAGAACTGATTTACACTGGATGTAAGAGCTTTGAAAAGTAGCAAAGAAAACAACAGTTATTTTGGACCTCTAAAGCATACTTTTATCAGGCAGTCTCTGAAGTCATTTTGCCAGTTGAAACCTAGTCTATGTCAGGAAGTATTATGTCTACAGACATGAGTAAGACATAACTCTTGTTCTTAGAAGATGGACAATTCAGTTGAATAAATCACAGAACAATCACAATAAAAGTCATGTCATTAGATTCCTCCAAAGTTACCTAATATCTCATCTTCTCACCTAGACTAGAAGTCAAAACCTTTACAGTGCCTG